TCAATAAAATTGAATTTAATCTAACAATCTGACAACTATAAAATTAAACATAACCTTTCAATTAGTAACTTTTTACGTACCTTTCAAAATTGAGGAATTCAAGCCTAATAGTATAACCCACTTAATTCTTAATACGTTGGCGAACTTTCCTTTTTTTCCCCTTCTTTTTCTTCCTCTTTTTTTTTCCCTTTCTCTTTTCTCTCTTCTTCTTTCTGTCTGGTCCGTTTTCTTTGTGTGTGTTTTTAAATTGGTCTTGGGTGGAACCGCCTCAGGTTATTTTATTTTACTATTATTATTTTTTGATGTTTGACTTTTCTTCTTTTTTTTAATGTATTACATATACAGCGTTCCATGTGCTTATCCGTGATCCCAAGGCCACCAAGGGACCTCCTGATACTGTCTCTATACAGGTGCCAAATTTCAAATACCTTATCCTTGCTATCTTTAATGACCTGTTATAAAAGAAATTCCATAATTTTTGAAATAAAATTAGTGCATGTAAAAATTAAGCTAGCCAATACTAGTATATTATTTTCCATATCATGTTTGATCCATCTTTTATTCCATTTAACACACAACCTATTAATCAATTTCTTATCCATTCCATATTCTTCTTTATTACATTTCCATCATAACTCACCCTTAACACCATGCATTATAACATCTTATTTCTCATCTTATGACATAACTAAATCAAAATAATTTAAGTCTAAGTTTCAAGTGCTAAATGTTTTCTCTCCAATTGAATATACCATGTCCGCATATATGCATATATTATTGGCTCATTTTCAATAACCAATATCATGATGATATTAGTAACTATTATACCAAATCATCCATCCAGACTCCTCTTCAGCTTTAGTTACTTCAAACCATTTTTCTCCATTTCTTCTTCTCCTTTTTATTTTACCATCTTTTCACCAAATCTCTTACATACAAACTTTGATAATCCAAAAGTAAATAAACTCATTATTTGTTGAAATGACTTATAGATTTATTTTTTTAGAGGTAATAATTTGAAATGGAGAAATCATAATTTATCATCTTTAATTTAATTAATTAAATTAACTCTAATTTTATCTTCCTTTAATTATTAAAGAACCCTAAAACAAGAATTTTAATTCCTATATATAAAATAATTGAGTACTTAAAAACAAATAATCAATTAAATGGTTATCTAAATAAATAAATTAACAATTAACAAAATAATTAAGTAATTACTTAACTAAAATAAAGAAAAAGAATACAAATTACCTAAAGAAAAGAAGTGAAAGAGAGGAGTGTCTCACCAAAGATCTCAATTCCCACCAAAGATCTCCTTTGTATTTAGATAGAAATTATACATTTTGTCAAATTTGCAAATTCCTTTACTTTTCTTTTGTTACTAAAACCATGATTTGCCACCCACAATTGTGCAATTTTTCAGCCTCCATGAAATTTCACACAGAGAACAAGATTGTGGGGAACCAAGGTTTTTTCCACTTGTGTTAGCAAGAAAATAAAATTTTCTACAAATTCTAAACCCTAGTTATTTATTTATATAAGCCCAATCGGGTTTGGTCTGTCTCCTGACCCGAATCCAATATTTAATCAACTCATTTAATTAAATTCGACTCGGTTCATGAATTAATTAATCCAATTAATTAATTTGGGCCTATAAATAAGTAACCTAATTAATTAATTTATCCGATGCTTATTAAATTAATTAAGTGACAAATCACAATCTTTTAATTCTTCTTTTGTGTGCAATCTATCAGGTTCCCAATCACGATATCTAACGACGTGAATTATTATTTTGATTTAATTGAAATTGATAAATTAAAACATCATTTTAATTTTTCGCCAATTCACATTCTCCATTTCAGATTGACATTTAGTAATGTATCAGGACAATACATGTAACAGAAAATGTCACGTGGTATGACAAAACCAAACTTATTCGTTTACTGTGAAACTATAATCCTTTCGTCAATATGATTCGATCAATTACGAGATATAAAAGTGTGTCAATCTCGATTATCGATCATATCTTTCATTTCACTATTAAGTCGAAAACTCATTTTCTACTTCTGAGTACACCTTGGCCAATGATTTCATTATCGACTTAATTGAATGAAATATAGATCATAATCTCTTACTATCTAAGAGTAATGAATCCTTTATTGGTCATTCACAACCTTCATACGATTCTTGACATACCCGAATGATGCCCATTAGCGGCCCTTGACAAAGCATTATCCAACACGCCAAAAGTATGACTGTCTTCATATAAGACACTATGATGACCTCAAGTCAAAGAACCAATTCTACTACTAAATGTTAGATATTAACCACTGACACTCAAATAGTTATCCATATGAATCTTTTAGTGGGTCTCCAATGTTTTATTCTATAACAAAATATCAACGTGCTCATTTAAGTGTCACCATACTTTAACTTGTGAGATCGGTTACTTACTTTACAAATAAGAAATGTCACACGTGATGATCTATTCGTATCTCGTTAATACTTAAGACCACGGATTATTTAAGATTCAAGCACACACAATTTGTATCCCACAATCACAACTCCTTGTGATTAACAAAATACTAAAAAACTTGAATCTACGGACTCTATTATTTAATATCATTCCTAAAAATATAGATTTAAATAAATAATAGATCTTGCCAAAATTAAATGCATTAAACATATAAAAAGTATTTACAATCTAAATCGATTGGATATAGAGCATAACACTTACAGCAAATATCTCATTCCATTATAAAATTACACTTTTGAGCATTGGGTATATATGCAATTATCTCTTTTTTATAAAATTGCACTTCTAATTCCTAGAGTAATGTTTTAATTACAATTCCTATAACAATTTAGCCCTTGTTTGATTTCCATTCTTCTAAAAAATCATTTTTTCAAAATTTATTTTCAATCACACATTTTTCAATAAAATAATATAACAGGCAAATTCAAAACTTTTTTTTAATTTTTAACCACATATTCTCCATCAATCTACTATTCAAAATGCATTATTTTCCAAAAATGGGGATCAAACAAGGGCTTACTCTATCAATTCAACCAAGTCTCTAAAAATTTTGAGCACTTTCTAAGATATTGAAAATCCTTGCTAGAAAATTTCGGGATGTTACAAAGGTGAAGATTTGTTGATTTTTTATACCCAATGAATCGTGAGTTATGATGTAAAAGTCGGAATATAACTTCACGCCTCGAGCAATGGTGAATTAATTACCAACAATCAAGTCCAAAGGCTCGACCCAACCCATATATATTACTTCTTGGATGGCTTTGTATATTGGCCCGTTTAACCTATTATTGGTCTAACTATAACCTAACCTAGCCTTATATATATGTTGTTTCTACCCTAGCCGTTAAGTGTATGATTTGTGTGAGAAAAAGAAGAAAACGTGGCTGCTTTTTCCCTGAAAAATCGGCTGCCCATTGAGAGAGATAAAAACCGGTGGTGGCTTCCTTGGTGTTTTTGGCCTCTTTTTGTCCCTCTTTCATTGCTTTCTTCTTGTACTTTTGTGGTCTACAAATCATCACCATTATCTTATCCTTTGTGGGTGAGACTGAGAAACAACCAAGGTGAATGTATTGGTTATGAGTTTGAGCCGTTTGGTAGAAAAAGATAATATAAAATTGAACCCGAAAATCACCGATTTGACAATTCTTGGAGCGAGCTTCTGCGACAATCTAAACGCCATGCCTGACTCTCCTACAATAGCTATCTGATTAGATTGAATTAGAGCTGCGCATCGTAGTAATTTCTTTTGAAGAAGAATAGTTTATCTGGCAAATATGTGTGAAACATAATGCTAACATCCATTTATCATATCCCTTGAGTTCTTGATCATACAAATCAAACTATGATGCTCAAACTTGAAACTAAATATTTAAGGAAAAAACAAAATCATGTACGGTTTAGTAACATAGCTCCTTTGATAACTCCTCCACCAATAGCCCAAATATGCCAACCTCAATTTCTGCAGCAGTCTCTTCCTCCTGCTCCTGAAATTTTGTCCATCTGCCCGATTCTTGTTTGAAAGCCGATTCGATCATCATGTCTACAGTTTCAAATACTACTTCATTATTGTTCAAGCAATTCGTTTTGCTCTTTTGGTCGACAGTTGGATCCAAGACTAGACTCTTCATATCAGCAGAAATCTTCCTCGTTTTCTGATGATTTGATTTACTAATGACTTCTAGTGCAAGTGTATCGACACTATGCTCCCTGTAAATTGCAAAGGGTTCATCGTCTTCGCATTCCTCTATTTCCTCTTGGTCGTTATCATCCGATCCTTCTAGCAACTTTCTCTCGAGTTCTATAGGATCCAACTCTGCAAGTTTTTCAAATCTACAAAGCCTGTACAACAGCAGCTGTTTTGCTCCTGAAAGAGAAAAACACGAAATCAGAATCAATTCTCTCATGACACCTAATAATCATGTCCTCAATCCATTGCACATAGAGTAAACACATGACACGAATGCGGAATGCAGTCAATGAGAAAATGAGGAGAAGTCATCATCAACAAAGTTAGCGCTAGACGTGCCTGTAAATGCTTCAACGTGTCTAAATCTTAATTAAGAAAAAATGTTGAAGGCGGTATTGCTTGATAATTAAGCAAGAAATGAGTAAAATTAATTAGTAAAGAAGGTCGAATTTCAGATGTCAAGGTAAACAAATGGCTGAGTTTAATCCAAATAAATGAGAACAAACAGAAAAGATCAAATAAATCCAACTAGAATATAATCAAATACACAATTCTGCTCCATTGCTTTCCCAAAATAATAATTGAAGACAACTTTGGCAATTGTTCAAGAATTTATTGAACATGTCATGATACAGAAATAGCAACTTATGCACAAGTACGACATGAAAAATGCTCATCAATTTTGATCCTGCAATGATTCCCAGCGACAATTGAAATCACAAATTCGATCATCCTGCATTCATGTAAAATGATGTAAATTTTATTGAAGCGGAAATCTCTACCTACTTTGTACATTTACATAGCTGCATTCAAGATCATAACTGTCCTTGGTTACACCCGCACTTTCTTGTCCATCGTCCTCTTCAAAGGGAGGATCCAACACTGATACTGGACTAAACTGATCATTTTCTTCCTCTTCTTCTCCTCGTACTCCTTCCGAACTTTTTGTTCCACAATTTGCTTTCTCCTATTAAACATAAATATAAATTGCATATTATAATGGATCGTTAAGTCCCAAAATGTAAAATGAAATTGTGTGTTGTCTTTTTTGTTGCAATAATTTAAGAGACAGCGACTATTAGAAAAAGATTTTGGCGGCAGATGTGTAATCGAAAGTACAATAATGAAACAAAAACACCCACGTGCTGCTGCCTAATTAAGAGATTAAGGAAAAGAAAAGACAGACCCCTTTTTTGAGGCTGCTAGGAGTAGCTGCCGGCGAAGAAAAATCAGGCGTCTGACGACCGGAGGATGATTGGCTTTTCTGTAGAGTAAATCTGTAAGGGCTTGAGCAGAAACGCTTTTCACAAGAAGCAAAATCTCCATCGGCACTCCCTTCAGAACAGCAGCTAGTGGAGGTCTCCAAATCCAAAGATTTCTCCTCGTTACTCGATGACCAAGTATCACAAGAACAAGAAATTCTAATATCCATGTTCATCTTTTCGTCAATTTTTGGCTCAGAATTTCTTGAAACTTTGACCTCATTATCACAGACACCAAGCATGCGTCTTTTGTTGTGGGTACGATCTTTCGGCCTCTTGAAAATGGACCCAAACAACCCAAACCCGACATTTTTAATCTGGGTTTTCCATTTTGACTGCTTTGTCTGAATTCTCAATGCGGCTTCAACAAGAAGTGCAGCAGTTTTAGCAGGAATATGAAGAAAAACAGCACGATTCGGCAATTTACATGGGCTCTGCAAGGGTGATTTTCGGTAGTCCGGCGAATTTTGGAACGAGAAAAGGCATGCATTCTTACAGAGACTGCTATGTTTTATATTTGTAGGTGAAGTATCAATTCTGGGCTTTCGTTTCTTGATTAGTAAAGTGTTTCTGGGACTGGTTTTTGTGAGTTGAGATTGCCTGTCTGCAATGTAGGTGTTTAAGTGAAATGGTTCCTGTTCTTCATTCAGTAGCTCATGCAACAACTGCTGCTTATAAGCCATCAAAATTTCAGATTTAGGTTTAATTTTGAGGTTGTATACTCATTAGTGCTGACTATATGAGAAGCAAAACGAGAAAGTTCGTCAAATTTTCTAATATACTCTCCAACAGACATAGTCCCTTGTCCCAATTGAATAAACTCATTTAACTTTTGTTGTCTAATAGCTACGGTAAAATATTTATTGAGAATGAGTTCCTTAAATCGAATCCATGTCATAGAGTCTACGAACTTAATACTTTGCTCCATATCCCACTAGAATCCAATATTGCCTCATAGCATAAAAGTAGCACAATTACCCTTTTTAATATATGAGACTCTATTATATTTAAACATGTTTTTCCCTCATATGTACCCACTCTTTTGTTTCCAACGGTTCAACAATCCCATAAAAAATGGAAGGGTTTAATTTCCTAAATCGCTTTCCAATATTGTCATCAATTCTTGGAACTAGTGCAGCTTGCATATGCTGAATAAGTTGTTGGGATTGGGTCTCCACTAACACTGCCAAATGCTCTACTACTGCATCTCGATTATTTCCATTGTTCGTAGATTCACTTGCATCAGCCATCTAACATTAAATAGACTTTTAAGCCTATGATTAATGTATGTACCTTTAAATACTCGTAGAACAAAAATCTTAACTCGCTTATGAAAATATTTCATTTTCATAAATCTTAGGACAAACTATACATTTTCTGACTTATATAGGACGATTTCCTTAGCACGATCATACTTATACTTAATCATTCTCACTAGCAATTTAAAACATTACTTTATTAAATAAATTCAATAAAAGAAATTAAAATAATAATAATAATAAACATACATACTAGCATGCCGTTGATTACTTAGTCCCCAATTATACATGTTAAATCTTCAAGATGTTATCAAAACTTTGGCTATGATACCACTCATCTTAATTGTGACACTTTTCCCTTAATATTCTTTTTACCATCTCATTTCATTTTATTATTAGGTTTTTTTAAACATATTAGGATTTAATAATTTGTATTTAATTCAAGCAGACACTTCACAGTAAAATCAAAACATATCATGAAAATCAAATTAATAATATAGAGAGTTAAAAGAACCGCCAAATTTATATTATACCAAAAGAGAACTTGTTTTAGAAAATATAATTGGTTACAAGTTATATGATGCAATGATGTATATCAAGCATACTTGGACCTAAATCCTTATTATATTGTACTGTATGAGCTCAAAATAACATGGCCATTACTTGCACACAAATCAATGTTAATGCATCCATCATTGCCTATCAAGACTCAAAATGCCACATCAGTATATAACATATGTAAACTAAGGCATGGCCTAAGTATATAGTGCTCCATGTGCTTATCCGCAGTCCCAAGGCCACTAAGGGACCTCTTGACACTGCCTATATACAGGTGCCGAACTTCAAGTACCTTATTCTTGGCTACTTTTAATGATCGTCAGGAGCCTCAAAGTGGTACATTTATTTGGAAACAATAGTACGGTACATCTATAATGAGATTCACATTCAAAATTTCCAATCAAAAATTCAATACAAATGATAACAAAAGTATGCATGACCTTGAAAACGTAATTATCCATACATTTTCCAGATAAACTTAATGCACACGTGCCACATTACCATGTCACAAAGTATATAAAAAAAAACACACACACACACACACACACATAATTTCACATAGTAATATATCTTGTACTGTAATTGAAAAATATCAATATTTACCTTTTTCGCGACTTTTTTGATCAATATCTGCTTTAATAAAATGATCTCTACATTAATCATAAATTGTCATATTTTTTTCCCAATTACCAAACTTAAATTAAGCCTATAAGATAACTTAATTTACTTAATAAAATATTACCAGTAATAATACTAATAATGACACTAGTTTACTACCAATAAATAGTAACAACAACAATAATAATGAAATTCTCATTATTGTTATAAAAGAAATTCCATAATTTTTGAAATAAAATTAGTGCATGTAAAAATTAAGCTAGCCAATACTAGTATATTATTTTCCATATCATGTTTGATCCATCTTTTATTCCATTTAACACACAACCTATTAATCAATTTCTTATCCATTCCATATTCTTCTTTATTACATTTCCATCATAACTCACCCTTAACACCATGCATTATAACATCTTATTTCTCATCTTATGACATAACTAAATCAAAATAATTTAAGTCTAAGTTTCAAGTGCTAAATGTTTTCTCTCCAATTGAATATACCATGTCCGCATATATGCATATATTATTGGCTCATTTTCAATAACCAATATCATGATGATATTAGTAACTATTATACCAAATCATCCATCCAGACTCCTCTTCAGCTTTAGTTACTTCAAACCATTTTTCTCCATTTCTTCTTCTCCTTTTTATTTTACCATCTTTTCACCAAATCTCTTACATACAAACTTTGATAATCCAAAAGTAAATAAACTCATTATTTGTTGAAATGACTTATAGATTTATTTTTTTAGAGGTAATAATTTGAAATGGAGAAATCATAATTTATCATCTTTAATTTAATTAATTAAATTAACTCTAATTTTATCTTCCTTTAATTATTAAAGAACCCTAAAACAAGAATTTTAATTCCTATATATAAAATAATTGAGTACTTAAAAACAAATAATCAATTAAATGGTTATCTAAATAAATAAATTAACAATTAACAAAATAATTAAGTAATTACTTAACTTAAATAAAGAAAAAGAATACAAATTACCTAAAGAAAAGAGGGGAAAGAGAGGAGTGTCTCACCAAAGATCTCAATTCCCACCAAAGATCTCATTTGTATTTAGATAGAAATTATACATTTTGTCAAATCTGCAAATTCCTTTACTTTTCTTTTGTTACTAAAACCATGATTTGCCACCCACAATTGTGCAATTTTTCAGCCTCCATGAAATTTCACACAGAGAACAAGATTGTAGGGAACCAAGTTTTTATCCACTTGTGTTAGCAAGAAAATAAAATTTTCTACAAATTCTAAACCCTAGTTATTTATTTATATAAGCCCAATCGGGTTTGGTCTGTCTCCTGACCCGATCCAATATTTAATCAACTCATTTAATTAAATTCGACCCGGTCCATGAATTAATTAATCCAATTAATTAATTTGGGCCTATAAATAAGTAACCTAATTAATTAATTTATCCGATGCTTATTAAATTAATTAAGTGACAAATCACAATCTTTTAATTCTTCTTTTGTGTGCAATCTATCAGGTTCCCAATCACGATATCTAACGACGTGAATTATTATTTTGATTTAATTGAAATTGATAAATTAAAACATCATTTTAATTTTTCGCCAATTCACATTCGTCATTTCAGATTGACATCTAGTAATGTATCAGGGCAATACATGTGACAGAAAATGTCACGTGGTATGACAAAACCAAACTTATTCGTTTACTGTGAAACTATAATCCTTTCGTCAATATGATTCGATCAATTACGAGATATAAAAGTGTGTCAATCTCGATTATCGATCATATCTTTCATTCCACTATTAAGTCGAAAACTCATTTTCTACTTCTGAGTACACCTTGGCCAGTGATTTCATTATCGACTTAATTGAATGAAATATAGATCATAATCTCTTACTATCTAAGAGTAATGAATCCTTTATTGGTCATTCACAACCTTCATACGATTCTTGACATACCCGAATGATGCCCATTAGCGGCCCTTGACAAAGCATTATCCAACACGCCAAAAGTATGACTGTCTTCATATAAGACACTGTGATGACCTCAAGTCAAATAACCAATTCTACTACCAAATGTTAGATATTAATCACTGACACTCAAATAGTTATCCATATGAAATCTTTTAGTGGGTCTCCAATGTTTTATTCTATAACAAAATATCAACGTGCTCATTTAAGTGTCACCATACTTTAACTTGTGAGATCGGTTACTTACTTTACAAATAAGAAATGTCACACGTGATGATCTATTCGTATCTCGTTAATACTTAAGACCACGGATTATTTAAGATTCAAGCACACACAATTTGTATCCCACAATCACAACTCCTTGTGATTAACAAAATACTAAAAAACTTGAATCTACGGACTCTATTATTTAATATCATTCCTAAAAATATAGATTTAAATAAATAATAGATCTTGCCAAAATTAAATGCATTAAACATATAAAAAGTATTTACAATCTAAATCGATTGGATATAGAGCATAACACTTACAGCAAATATCTCATTCCATTATAAAATTACACTTTTGAGCATTGGGTATATATGCAATTATCTCTTTTTTATAAAATTGCACTTCTAATTCCTAGAGTAATGTTTTAATTACAATTCCTATAACAATTTAGCCCTTATTTGATTTCCATTCTTCTAAAAAATCATTTTTTCAAAATTTATTTTCAATCACACATTTTTCAATAAAATAATATAACAGGCAAATTCAAAACTTTTTCTTAATTTTTAACCACATATTCTCCACCAATCTACTATTCAAAATGCATTATTTTCCAAAAATGGGGATCAAACAAAGGCTTACTCTATCAATTCAACCAAGTCTCTAAAAATTTTGAGCACTTTCTAAGATATTGAAAATCCTTGCTAGAAAATTTCGGGATGTTACAAAGGTGAAGATTTGTTGATTTTTTATACCCAATGAATCGTGAGTTATGATGTAAAAGTCGGAATATAACTTCACACCTCGAGCAATGGTGAATTAATTACCAACAATCAAGTCCAAAGGCTCAACCCAACCCATATATATTACTTCTTGGATGGCTTTGTATATTGGCCCGTTTAACCTATTATTGGTCTAACTATAACCTAACCTAGCCTTATATATATGTTGTTTCTACCCTAGCCGTTAAGTGTATGATTTGTGTGAGAAAAAGAAGAAAACGTGGCTGCTTTTTCCCTGAAAAATCGGCTGCCCATTGAGAGAGATAAAAACCGGTGGTGGCTTCCTTGGTGTTTTTGGCCTCTTTTTGTCCCTCTTTCATTGCTTTCT